TGGTAAATATTTTTAGTTGTAAATTTAATGTGAGGAAGGGTGGGGGAGACAACTATTAATATGTTTTCTTTTTACTTATACTAACAAAAAAAACCCATTTTTCGCAGTGACTTTCAAAGTGAAATATTTCAAGAAGCTTTTCCTTTGTATGCTCTTTTAATATTTTATAGGTACATGATCGCGATACATCCAACTCTCAAGATAATAAAYTACATCGATAATATTCAATATATAAAGTTAATAAATTGCATATTGTATTATTTAATAGAACTGCAGTGACTTTAACACCCATTGCATGCGTCATATAGTGCCGCAACTTATAAGAATGCAATCATATTTTATACGGCCATCAAAATAAAATGTTCATTATTAGTTTGGTAAGTATAATTATTATAAATTACAGTTAAGACCATAGAGTAATAATACTAATAATAATAAGCCAGATATAAATTTCCCAGTATAGAATATTGATGAAATCATAATTATTGATATACCTATATAATTTGTATTTAAAATCAAACCGATAGGCCAGTTTAACTGGCCCAGTTACGACTAAGGGTCTCAACTGACAGTATATCGTATATTTGGCACCCCCGAACCTCGGTGTTGTGAGGTTGTGACACTCAGGCCAGTGGTAAGACATTTTCCGCCCTTARGCGAATAAAAATAATAATTAAATCTCTGTCTTTTTTGAAAATTTAATATTACAATTTGCCGCATCAATTTTTTAAAATGTTATGCCGTCCTAAAGCAACGCATGTCTTGCTTGTACCCTAGCGACGGGCCTGGTGACACTCGTTGCATAGTGCATGACCGCATAAGTATTTATATAATTATATAAATAAGCTACACCAACCTGTAATCGTCAAGACGAAGAGAAGAAACGACCGCTGCATTTTGCAGCAAAGAAAAGAAGAGCACCCCTGCAATAAACCGCGTAAATTGCACACTGCAGCGTTGTTACGATAATATCGACGGCGGTCGTGTTCCACGACACATTCGGCAGAGAGAAAGTCAAGATGACCAATGAAATTAATATTAATAATTAATAATATTAAAACGACAAATACGACGCGCAAAATAAACGGCGGACGAGAATCGARMCACAGCAGCACTATCCGGAACAGCGTAACACTTGCGACTGGAGAAAATTGAAAAATACGAAAGTTACCCGGCGGTTAACCTAACCAAACCGGTCATCAGCGTTRTAGTTAACGCCCACCAGTGGTTATCCAGCGGGCAGAGCCTGCCGCAGCAGCCAGCAGGTGCGATGCCGCCGCCCAATCAACCGACCGGAAAGAGGGAAACTTTTCGGCGGAGGCATTTCTACGGCGTCGCGCTCTGTCCGCTACATTCAGCGCTTGTACGATAGTGYGCGATCAGTGTTGCCGATCAATCGGTAGTCGGTCCGTTCCGTTGGTCACAGTGTTTTTGGTCGCGCGCGACGGACTGATCTAGTTTATCCATCATGGCCGTCACGTCCCTACGCTTGTGTGCCGATCGCGTTCTCGTTAACAACGATTAGGGACATAAAAATAAAAATAATATAAAATAATAATAACAACGGTTATACAATAATCGTAAAATCGGAACGACAATCACAACGAAGGTGGCCGTGAAACGAAGTGCGCACGTTATTTAGTTTCCTCGTTTTTTTTTTCGTTGATTATGTATTCTTCGCGATTGCCCGACCGCTGTGCGACGAGCGTACGTTGAGCCGTGCGGTTTGTGTGAGTGTCGATGGGATCGTGCCCCGAGAGMCATGAAGCCGTACGACAAGTCGAACGTAAGTAGATAACTAAACGTCATGTCATGAATCCGTCCTCTGATCAACGATCTTACGTCCGACGATTTCCTACTGATTTTCCCGCCCGTTTGCGCTGCGCGATCACATGGTCTCGTGCGGCACGACGTCTGATACGTTTGCGTATCGTCAAATTTTAATCCGATCAGATGATGAATTATTTTCATTTTTTATTTTGATATTGGTTTTCTAGTCTTTTATGAGGAGGGTCACGAAACGCGTGTCCGAATACCTACCCGGAATGACGTGGATGAATACGTTGATCAGCGATGCGCAAACTGATGACGACCCTACGTCAATGACTGAAAATGACGATCAACCTCCAGTGAAAAAATTGTGTACKTCCGTTAACTCATTTACTAACACCAAATACCAGCCTACAAATTCAACTGACAACCACAGGAGTTCAAGTGAGTAGATCATTGATCTATAATGCTAATATTTTTGTGATGTCTGCGTCTAGCTATTTTAACTGTTGTACTTGTAAATTTGCAGATGTAAATGTACTTTTACCAGAAATATCTGCTGTTACTTGTATACCAAGTACAAGTAAACAAAGCCCTAAATTTACAAGCCTATCAAGTGCTTCCTTACAAAGTCAAGATGCTGGCAATAGAAGTAAGTGTGAATGTTAAACCTTATTCTTRAAATTAGCTACTTAAAAGTATTAATGGTTATGCATCAACATGAATCCTATATAATTTCTGATAGTGTTAGTAGTTTAATACCCATATATTGTATATTTTCTTATCAATATTTTCAGTTAAAATAAAAAAAAATTGTAATGGTTTAGATAACAATTTAACATCTAAACCACTATTTATACAATACACAATGCTAATTTTTTTTTCAGATTTATTAGGTAATCCATTAAAACCGTAGGCAGTTGAATATAAATTATGAGGAACTAAAATTATTTGTATTAGTATTTGTATTTGTATCATACTTAAATTAATATTTTGTTAATCTTCATCATTGACAAGAGAAGAGTTAAATCTCACAAAGCCCCTTAGGTGAAAATATTTTGGATTACTATTTTTAAGACAAAAGAATAGGAAAGTATAAAAGTAATCAATATTACATATTTTCATATATTTCTTTATGAAATGAGATAATAATTAATAAATTGAAAGACCTATTTTGCCGGGTTTAGTTTTTGAATCAAAATTGTTAGGTAAAAAGTATTGACATTAATTAATATATTAAAATATAAACTGTAAAAATATCTTATAATTATTCTCCTGCAAATGTGCCAAAGCATAAAATTGTCTAATAATGATTAGGCAGTTATAAATCGTAGTCATGTTTGTTGGTTAGATTAAATATTTTTGATATGGTTATAAAATTATAAATCTATTTGATTCCTCAATTTAGATWTGCTTAGAAAATTTGATTAATAATATTCCACGTATTAACTAACATTTTAAGATCTGAACCWTATTTTTAAGCAGTTTATTAATTATGTTTACGTTTGTGACACAAATTTTAATTTATTTAATTTTACCTTAATCCAAAGAAGTTTTTGTTATAAAAATTATATTTGTTATTAATGAAATATGGTTGAAAGCTACAAAATGTTGAATATCTGCTTAATCACTTGTGTTTTATTTTTTATCTGACTTAAAAGTTWTCAAAACTTGTTGATATGTAGTAGACAACAGTTTAAAAATAAGTTACATATATCTTTATTTTAATTGATAAGCATGATACACTAGGTAATCTACWTGTTAAAAGTTGTCTCAATTTTTCTATTGCATTAATTCTAAGTTTAGTACAATTTGTACAATTTATTTTTAGAATGGGAGGGTCTAAAAAAAAAAATCTCTGTCATATTAGCATACTAATCATTTTATGCTGTAACATACTAATCATTATTAATTATATAATGTTACCTGTTCTTTTAGGGACGTATTTTTGAGGATGCTTAAGAGATCCCTAGATCCATTCACATTTTAGTTTTTGCAATTGTAAATATCTGATACTATTTATTGTTTCAATTTTGAGCGTTATTGATCATTTACATACTACATTGACACTACTGTGATTACCTTTATAGTTAGATATTGTACTAAGTATAACATAAATTGATCTGTTAGTAYTCAATTCTCGTTCCACAAGCAACATCTAATGAAAAATGATTCAACTGCATATTATAATTAAGACAWAATGATTTATACTGCATTTACACTATACTATTTTTTGTATAATAAAGTTTTAAATTAAAAATAAATGTA